CAGCTGAACTCTCTGCCTTCGGGCGGGGAGGAACCCGAACGAGGCTACACCAAAGGGCGGAGTCTCTTTCGGGGAGGTAAACCGACCCTGAACCCGTTTATACGGGTTCAAAGGGCATATTTTGGCCGAGCCTACGGGCTCGGAGATCCCACGTTAAAAAACCGGCCTTGCGCCACATGCATTCCCCAGTGGAGGGGGGGACTAAATACTCTCAGTGATTTGGTCAGTCAGTCGATGTCCGACGACAGTTAGTCGAATACTAAACTATCAGCGACCACCACTGGATTTCTCTGCGTCATTACCTATTATATCAAGTTCCTAACGTACGTCGAACCTATTTTAGGACCGACTTAGTACAAATACAAGCCTCCACTGTGAAACCACTCCACAACACTATTCTATGTTCAATATGGAACCATTGTAAGTTTTTTATTCCCTCAAGGTACTGTAGTTTGAAAAGCATTTGTATATTCTTGATACAAGAAATATGAATTAGCTAACAAATTCTTTTACATTTTTCAACTGATCTCGTCTTTCTTATCAAATTGTAAAATGAAAGTTATCCTAAATGGACACTCATCCAGATCCTTTTGTACCGATGCAGGTGTTCCCCAAAGATCTATCCTTGGATCTACTTTGTTTTTAATTTTCATTAACGACCTTCCCAACTCTTAAGTTGGTATCTGTGCTGATGATACAACCATTTACTCCTGTCTTCACAGTATGTCCGATCAGCTCGATAAGGTCAAATTGACGGCTGATGTCAAAAACGACCTTCAGTCTGCTGTTAACTGGGATAAAGGATGACTTGTTAATTTTAACGCCTCTAAAACTAAACCTCTATCTCTATTAATCATCTGAGAGACCCCTTTCTGTATTCAATCGACATGGCTGATGCTAACTTCCAGAAGAGTGACGGTGCGCTTTCTAGGGCTAACATTTTCGGCTGACATGAAGTGGAAAGGCTATAATGGATCTACTGTTAGGTCAGCTGCCAAGGAAGTTGGTTCACTGTATCGTACTAGACATTTGTTCTCTCCAGAATCTATCTTACATACCTATCCCACGAACGCAGGTGTTCCTCAAGGCTCCATCCTAGGCCCCACTCTATTCCTTATCTACATAAATGACCTTCTTGACGCCGTAACTTCTCAAGTCGGCATCTACGCGGACGACACCACAATTTATTCCTGCCTCAAAAACAAATCTAGTCTCGCTGACAAAACTCACCTTGCCGTGCGTCTCGAAAAGGACCTCCAATCGATTGTGAACTGGGGCATGAATTGGCTGGTCAACTTCAACGCTTCGAAGACAAAACTGCTCTCTATTAATCACCACAGAGAGCCTTCCCTTCCCTCCATTAGAATGTCTGACGCTCAACTTCTCGAGAGCAACTCTCTGCGGCTTCTCGGTCTCACGTTGACTGCTGACCTGAGATGGAATAAATACATCGAGTCAATTGCCTCGTCCACTGCGAGGAAAGTTGGCTCCCTGATCCGCGCTAGGAAGTTTTTCTCCCCTGAGTCGATCCTCCAGATATACAAATCCACAATTCGCCCTTGCATGGAGTATTGCTGCCATATATGGTCTGGCGCCCCTTCTGTTTGCCTCGGGGTTCTTGATAGGCTCCAGAAGCGGATATGCAATATGGTCGGCCCTGCCCTGGCGTCTCGTCTACAGTCACTTTCTCACATACGCACCGTCGCCTCCCTCTGTCTGTTCTACAAATACTTTCATGGAAATTGCTCCGAGGAGCTGCATTCGCTGGTTCCCAGACGTCATGAGTTCAAGCGCCCTACGAGGCTGGCATCCCGCTCTCACCCACTCACTGTCGAAACTCCTAAATGTAGCCGTCTCTTCTACTCTAATAGCTTCATGGCTCGCACCTCTCGCCTGTGGAACTCTCTTCCCTTCTCCTGTTTCCCTGTGAGTTATAATCTCCAGCTATTCAAGTATAATGTCAATCGACATCTCCAGTTGCCTTAATCTATCTACTACCCTCATCCTTTCTTCTATCACTCCTATCTGATCTTCCTATTTTCTGTAACCCCTTGCGTCCTAGTGGCTTCCCGCCTTGCTTGGGGTGAAATGCTTAAAAAAAAAAAAAATTAAAAAATCTATAAGTCTACCATTCATTCATGCTTTGCTGCCACATATGTTCACGCACTCCCGCTGTATAGAGATTCTTGATGAAATCCAAAGGACAATTAGCGATATTATTTGTCTCGGTAAAGTTGCTTCCCTCTGTCTTTTTCTATAAATATTGTTCGGGCCGTTGTCCCCATCTTTATTTGCACATTGACGACGTTTCGGCAGTTGTAGGCTCCGGCCTCCTTCAGGTGATTGGAATTTCGAACTAGATTCTTTATTTTGTCCACTGGGGTAGATTGTTCTAGTTCTATGTGTTAATCATCTTCCGTGTGTCTCAGTTATCTCCCTTTAACTCAAATCGTACATGGCTTGAATATTGCTGCCACATATGGTCCGGTGCTCCTGCTATATATCTAGAGATTCTTGATAAAATCCAAAGAATCAGCAATATTACTGGTTCTAACATGGCATCACGGCTTTAATCACTTTCCCACTGACGTAAAGTTACCTCCTTGTGCTTTTCTGTAAATACTTTCATGATTATTGTTTCATGGTTATACTTCGCTATGGTACCTAGACTTTATGAATTTAAGCGCAGTATTAGACTGGTGTTGAGATCTCATCAATTTAGTGTTGGCTAGATGTAGCCGCAAATTCTATGCTAACAGTTTCTTTTCTCACACTTCTCGCTTGTGGGACTCCCTTTCAGCTCCATGCTTTCCAGACTTTAATCTTCAATAATTTAAATGAAATGCTAATAACTATTTACTGTGCTCCTGGTTACTCTTGTGTTGTTCTCGCTCCTTAGTAATATTTCTTTTTTCTAATTCTTTCACACCCAGTAACCCTTGTTTTAGTGGCTTTATTGCCTTGTTTTGGGTGAATTCGAATTAATAAACGTTCTGAGTCTGTATTGTAGACAGTAAATTCATCTGTCCCTTCCAAGTTGATGACCTTGAATTTGTCTTTGATATCCCGTCATCTCCATGTTCTGCCATCTATTTGCTTATGTTCGTTGGGTAGGTTATTCAATATTTCCCTTTACCTCTTTATCCTTCAATACGTCCAGTAAGTGTCAAATTGTCTAATCCCTCAATTGTCTCTTTCTGATTCTAAGTATAAGTGTCCTTGTTGTTTCCGTTCTGAGCATAAATATTACATTCCTTGTTCCAGTGTCTTTAACGAAACCACACTGATCTTGAGCTATTTATTGATGTTGTTCATAATTTTTCTTTTTTGTGTTTGCTTAATTGAATGCTGACAGTTTTATATTTTATTGACTAAATTCAGTATCCACACATAAATTGTACTACAGGGTGCGCCCCAATAAAATAGGAAATTTTAAATTTACTATATGATGAAAAAAATTAACTAACATATAAAAAAAATTTATTTTGAACACATCTAACATTTGTATTTTTGTTCTTTTTTAAGCTACCAAATATCTCATTTACTTTTGTTTTAAATAACTGCAACAAAAATTACAACAATTAAATAAACTGTACCAAATTTCATGTTTATTTATTTTTTGGGGGGGGGCATCCTCTATTTTCTAATTTAAGATGCCATGAAAAATCTTTCTACCCAAAGGGTATTGTAGTTCGAAAAAACACTTGCATATCCTTGAAACAGAAAATAAAAAGTAGCTAATAACTTCTTTTATGTATTATCCGGAGCTTGTATTGCAGAGAGTACGATCATCTGTCCCTTCAAACAGAAATGGCTTTCTCTCTCTCTCTTCCATAGATCTGCAAACATTTTTGTGTTTGGCGATTTTAATTCTCATCATGTGAATTAATTCTAATGTTGGTGATGTTGCCAGTGTATGGAAAAATAAGTGAAATTACATGCACTTATGGGGCGGCCGTCGGGCATGGAGACTGAGTGGTTGACGAATTCTGGTTTATCAAAGCGAGGCTGCTCCAAGGCACTGATTTTGTAGTCTTTTGTTACCGGAAGGCTGGGATGCGCAAGTCCGCTCTTTGTTATTTAAGGTCTACCTTCTCTTCCTTTTACCTATCTTTATTTTTTTGAGAAGGACATTACACGAACAGAGTAGTTTTGCGCGTTCTTCTATTATTTGATCCCCGTTTAAAATTGGGACGCGAGACCAGGCGTGTTTCATAATCACTTACTGCCGGACCGACTTCCATTACCCTTGAGTAGAAGAAATTTTCGACAAGTGTTCAAACTTTCAATTTTTCCGTTGCTCAGTCTCTTAAGTAAATACTGGTCTCCCTACTCGTTTCCCAAATAAATCTAATCAACATTCTTTACTTGATTTATTCCTTACCTACTCTCCTAGCTCTTGTCGAGCATCACAAATCTGTTTTCTTGGTAATTCGGATCATGTACTATCTGTTGATATTTCTTTTGAGTCATTTATTAGACAGGAACCTCCTATTCGCAAGACTTCTGTTACCAGCGTACTGGTTGAGATTAATTTTGTGACTTCCTAAGAGATGCTCCTTAGATTGATATTCTTAAGCTTCCTATTCAGAAATGAGCTCAGATGTTTTTGTTTTTTTTCTGGAGTTAAAGCCAGAAACCCAGCAAATGATAATAAATTTTAAACCTGTGTTGAAAGTTCAAATTCCTTCAGAGCACAAACATTTTTCAAATGCTGATTAATTTAAAAGCAGGAAAGGATGAGAGGAAATATTAAGACTAAAACAACAGAACACAACAACAGTTTGTCTAAATAAAATAGTTTTATTGCAAAATTTACAAAATTGAAAAGTAATATACAACATATAAAAATATCTCTAATAAAAATATTTCATTGCACATTGTTATATACATTTCCATTCATTTATATACATTCAAGAGAATGGTCCAAGAGAAATAAGGCTAGAAGAGGAAGATGTGCAGACAAGGTGAAGAAGTGTAATCTGGCTGTACAGACTCACTTAATAAAAGAAAAAAAGAATAAAAAAGAGAAAAAGTGTAGAAGAAAGAAAAAAAAGAAAAGAGGAAAAAGAGAAATGGAAAAAATGGGAAAAGCGTAAAAAAAAATAAAATGGTGTAAAAAAAAAAAGAGTAAAAAGAAAAAAGAATAGTAGAAAAACAAGAAAGAAAAAAGAAAAAGAAGAAAAGAAAAAATGAGAAAAGAAAAGTGAGAGAGAGAGAAAAGTGAGAGAGAGAGAAAAGTGAGAGAGAAAAGTGAGAGAGAGAGAGAGAAAAGTGAGAGAGAGAGAGAGAAAAGTGAGAGAGAGAGAGAAAGAGAAAAGTGAGAGAGAGAAAGAGAAAAGTGAAAAGTGAGAGAAAGAAAAGTGAGAGAGAGAGAAAGAGAAAAGTGAGAGAGAGAAAGAGAAAAGTGAAAAGTGAGAGAAAGAAAAGTGAGAGAGAGAGAGAGAAAGAGAAAAGTGAGAGAAAGAGAGAGAAAGAAAAGTGGGAAAAAGAAAAGTGAGAAAAAGAGCAAAGAAAAAGTGAGAAAAAGTGAGAAAAAAGACTTTAGCAAAAGCAAGTAATCTTCTGCACGCTAATAGTGTCTCATTCAATACACTTATTGCTATATGATGCACATGTGCATCCTGTGGCATGTTGTATATTACCTCACGCACATGTGCGTTCATCCCATAGTTTTATTTAAAGCAATGTAAATAGCCATGGCAACACAGTAAACATTTTCTACCTTGCAGCACTGGGCAAATGAAATGTCCATCTTTTTTTTTTGTGCTGCATGGTTGGTTCTTCATTTGAAAAATATAAGATTCCAATAGGCTATAGTTACCATAGCAACATTAATCCATCTCCCCATTCAATTAGATCAAATCTCAAAGATATTGAGATTATAAGGATGTATTCCCACCATCCACCTGCCTATAAAATTTTATTTTTGTTAATTCTCCAAATCACAATAAAATATTCCCAATGTTATTTTTTTTTTTTTTACCTTGATTTTCAGAATTTGTTTTTTATGATATTGAGGAAAAAGAAAGTAAAATGAAAGAAGATTGTACACAACATGATGGAGAGAGAGAAAAAAGCCAGTATCAAGGATGCACATTAGCGTCATTCTTTACAGTTTGATAAATTTAGTTCTATTTCCCAAAATAAATAATAAGTCATCTTATATAGACATTTCGAATGGTAACTCTAGCTAAATAAAAATTGAAAAAAAAAGAAAGATTATATGAGGGTTCAGAAAACCAAGGTAACAGTGAATATGGTAAAAATAGTAACACATTAGGAAATAAATACAAAACATTGAATTACATTTAAAACTGCACAAACGGGAATAAAGACAAAAGGAAAACTTCTTTACCAATTTGTTTTGTTCCCTGAAGGACTTTATTAAGCTAAATGTACGGGTTTTATTTTGCAGCATCATATATTCATAAACAAAAGTGGAAGAAGAATATCATTAATTTTTCAAAATTTTAAATTTAAGAACACTCTAAAATATTTTTAAAGCTCACCGTGTAAATAAAGGTAGACTATGGTGGATACTGAGTGATGTAATTTAATGACCAATAAAGAAACTGAGTAATTGTTGAATTTTTATTTTCTTGTTTTTTTTTAATGTAATTATTATTTATCAATTTGATTTTACTTATTTTAAATAATAGGTCATCATTTTCTTTTCATTTTTAAGTTTTTTATGGTCATTTATATTACCTTGGGAGAGGAGTATTTCTTTAAGAAAAGAGATATTTGAAAAGATCCTGGGTTTAAATTAACATTTTGGCAAGTATTGATATTTGCACTCTCAACCTTTCACCTAAGTAAATGTTTTTCTCTTTTAATAAATGTTGCATTCTTGAGATTGAAATAGTGATTGAACTTATTTCTGTCAATAAGTAATGCACTGGATAAATTGTTATGCAGAAGATCCTTTTTGCATTTATAAATACACGTTGCAAAATAAAATCCTTACATTTACCTTGATAAAGCCCTTCACAGGACAACACGTATTGGTAAAGAAAAGTTTTCTTTTTGTTTTTATTCATATTGTCTTTTTACAGATATATATAATTCAGATATGAATAAAATGTATCAAAAAATATTATGATAGAGATTAATAGGCCAAGTATTAATTGAATTCCTACTTGTCATTTAAACTATGAGGAAACACTTGATCCTGACCCATGCCCAAATATTTTTTTAAAAAAATCTCTTCACTTGCATGCCAAATAAATTGGAGAAAAGGGTAGATGAGCGAGTACTTTGGAAAATCAATGTCCCATTACTACATTACTTGCCTAGGTTGTAGCAACAAAAACTGTTACACTCATTGTCAACCTCACCGGATATACATGCAGATTTGTATCAAAACTGAAGCCTTTTTCTATGAAGTGTGTGTGTGTGTGTGTGATATAATAGTGGGTAAATGAATGAAAATGGAAAAGCATTCATGACTTCTTCAGACTAAGAAGCATTTTATGGTTAAAAATGAGTCTTATATATACAGACCAATGTCTAAAGAAATTACTTCTCAGAACAAAATGTGCCAATAATAATTTTTTCCATCTTGTCATTCATTTATATTTTAAGAAAAATTTCAAATGGACAGTGACCAACTACACCTGCCACTTTCATGTAATGTTTGAAAATAGGAACATTTTTATATTTTTCAGTAAGCACCTTTGCTATGATCACATTCTACACTATATCAGTGAGCATTCCTTTGGTACACTGTTAGACCTTTTCTATATATTTTTTTTTTGTTTTTGCAATTGTGAATTTATGGCTTTTTCATCTATCTTGGATAGACATTTTAGAGAGTTTAGCTGGTGTGTGCATATCATTCATGCATCAGCTACACCTTTAACATCTTGGACTTGACTAAATGTGTATAAAGTTCCCATCTTTACACATAACTGTTATCTGCTGCATGATGATTGCACAAAAGCGTCTGAAACTGTTGTTAGTTGTGGTCGATCACTGCTCACTGGAAATTTTATCTAAAATTATTTACGACACTGCCATTAAGCACATTTCTTCTAGTGTTCCCTCTATAGCAGACTCTCTTAGGAGCTGCTTATATATATATATATATATATATATATATATATATATATACACACACCAAAAAAAAAAAAAAAAAAAAAAAAAAAAGGATGTTGAAAGGTTTGTCATCTGACCAAAAAGCCATCCGCCAAAAAATCAATTTAAACAACAGATCAAATTTTAAGAAGTAGGTTAGACCAAAAGCTTTTTAGCACCCCTTTGCGTGCACACACACACAAACACACACATGCAAAAACACTTGCACAATTCAAGACACAATAAATCTCAATGAGATTTTAACTTTCATCTCATAATAGTAAGGCTTCCTTGTGTCATATTAAATATTTTGCATATATGTTTAATACAAATATAAAATTTGTCACTTAACTGATTGATGTTATTCTCAGCATCCCGACTCTAGTTTCAGAGACAGACCCTCAAGCAATCATTCCATCCACTTGTCAGGAGATACTAGCAATTGACTGTTTATTTTTTCATTTATATTTTTATATTGAGTTAAGAAACAACTTTTATTTCTTCTTCTTCTATTGCATGTATGTGTGTACCTGTAGAACATTGTGGTTATTTCTCTGTTTCATCATTTATTTATATATATATATATATATATATATATATATATATATGGTGGGAATGGAGAATTTTCTTAAAGCTTTAAGAATGGACATTTCAAAAACATGTATAAATATGTGGGGGAATATGGTATATAAATTTCTATACATCAGGACAATGTTTGGCAGATGAATGATAAAGTGGAAAAATTCTGTGTAATGCATTTCATCCTCCAGGAGTTTATTGAACTAATGTTTTTATTGATGAAATTATATATATTTTGCTAAGTGTTTCTCACCCATTTCTACTCCAGAGTACACATGTTAACTAAAACTCTGGGGTACACTTTAAATTTTAATAAAGAAAAATTAATCATGAAATTTGAAAATATGCAATTTTGGTTTGGTATTCAAAAAGATGTGTGTATAGTTTTCATTTAAATGGATTTATGAAGAATCTGCCACTTTTTAAATGGAGGTCAATAATGACTGATTTAAATCCCTTGAGGAAGGCAAAAGATTATCCATTCTTTAAAAATTAAGGAATTTAAATTATCAAATGGCAAAAACATGACTTAGGCATGGAAAACATGTGGCTGATGTTTGTAATTTTTTTTTAAATAAATATTTTTAAATTTAAAAAGAATTCAGGATTTACATTTATAAATCTACCATTCATGTCTGCATTGAATACTATTGCCATATCTGGTCCGGTGCCCCTGTCGTACATCTGAAGCTTCTTGACAAAATCCAAAGAAGGGTCTGTAATGTAATCAATCCTGACCAGGCATATTGACTTCAGTTACTTTCTCCCCAACGTGACATGGCTCCCCTCTGTCTTTTCTGCAAATATTTTCATGGCAACTGTTCTGAAGAGCTTTTTTTTTTTTTTTTTCTGGTGCCCTAACGACATAAATTTAAGCGTGCTACTACATTGGTAACTAGGTCTCACTATTTTAATGTTTCAACTAGCTAGATGCAACTGCTACTTCTATTCTAACAGTTTCTTTCACACACTTCCCACCTGGGGAACTCCCTCATGATTTTTTACTTCTTTGATATAGATAATCTGTTGAAATTTAAATGCAACATCAATCATCATCTTCTGTCTTCTTGAAGCCTGTTCCATTTTTGTCCTTTTCTCAATCCTCCCCATTCTCAGTTTTCTCTTTCACTTTCACCCCCTGTAGTCTAGTATCATGCTATTTTGAAATGGCATGAAATAATTAAAAAACAAAACATTTCTGTTAACTTCCTGGCTACCTTTCAGGGCAAAACTTAGGCAATAAAAAATTACTATGAGTTGATTTATAGCTCCAACTGAATTCTTAACATTGTTTTCACACTAAAAGTCTCACTATTAATAAAGTCATTGGCACCCACAAATGAAAATTTATCAGAAAATGTCAAGCAGGAGATAACTTGTGGGTGGCCATTTTTTATGGTGACGCTAAATATGAGTTATCTCATGGTCGACAGTCAATATGTTAAATTCCTTGAGGTTTTTCCTATGTATTCCTTGTGGCAGTCATTACAGGCTATAGAGAAAATCTTACAACAAATTCTTTTCAATCATAGTTTGTGATAGAGTTTAATAGGTAAAATAATTTCTCACATTTCATTAGATTTGCTCTTATTTGGTTTATTCTCTTATCTTTAAATTTTATAATTTTTAATATATTTCTCCTCTTCATATAAATATTAAAGTGGCTGTAAATTTTGAATGCTCTTAAGAATCTGATAATTATTCTGAATTTTATTTTGTGTATATGGTGAGAATAGAAATTTACAAGATCATTCTTATCAGTAGATTTAACCACAGACACTTACTTTTAGGTCATTGTCAGTATGGTTTAACATGATATGGATGAAAGGTAATGAATTTGTTTCCGTTTCATAAGTAAATTCTATCTTATGCTTGACTTTATTTATTTTATCAACAAGATCAGGTAATGTTGTTTTCCGGGAATATATTAATAAAATGTTTCAGTAAACTACTTTGGAAAGGACCAGAATTAAGA